AAAGTCCCAAACAAACAACAAAAACCCCCTATAAACCAGGAGGTCTTGGTTTGATTCCTGGTCAGGGCTCAGGGCATATGACATTCTGAGACCTAAGTAGTGAGGCTTGCAGAGGCAGCCCATCATTGATTCTCTCTCATTATGATGTCTCTCTCTCTCTCTCTCTCTCTCTCTCTCTCTCTCTCTCTCTCTCTCTTCCTCTCTGAAATCAATAAAAATATTTTTTTAAAGAGAATTGGGGTTAGGGCATTTTTAATATTTCAAAAACTTGCCTTAGGTAACCCCTGATTTGAGTACATGCATAGAAAAGAGACTGTCTGCTGTGGAAATGTGAGCATGTGCCTATGTCAGGTACAGTGGTGTTGCCTCCAAGATTTTATTTCAATTCATTTAAAGTCAAACACCTATTTACTGACCGCCTAGTAATAGTACTTCTTTGTGTTCTTTGAAGGCTAAAAAGGGGTCTAACAATGATTCATAAAACTTAACCATGAGCATAGACTGTAGGGGAGTGAGGGCAGCTGGGGAGAGGTCAATTCTTTGAACAATAAAGAATTTAAATTAAAAAAAAAAGTTCTTTCTGGGTCTGCTTGGCTGGATCATCTTCAGCTCGATATAATCTATACGGCACATTCTGGGGTGGCGTGTTCTGCTTCACCTCACCTACACCAGGTGTTCTGTTACTCCGGACCTGGCTTTAACTAGGAATCTTGAGGGTATCATAGAGCCATTTCTGTATTGTTTGCATTAGAAGGTACCCACAGGGAGACATAAATCTGAAGAAAAATTAAAGTGATACACATGACAAGATGAAGCATGTTGTAACAACAGGTCTGGATAGAATCAGGAGACCTCTGGATGTCCCCTCAGGACATTCATTTCCCTTTTCTAGATCCCCATCTCTTTATCCATAAAAGGAGAGGGTTAACCAGCTGAAGTTTTCTTTCTGCATGAACTGACTATCGGTGAAAGGGTCACCTAAGGGATCTCTTTCTATATTTGGGAGCATTTCTCCTTCCTGGTCTTTTCCAAAGACTGTGTTTTTATTTACTTGTGAACTCTCAGGGATGACACTACAGCTACCGGATGGTGATTATATCAGGTTATACCTTAAAATGCCCTGGTGTCAAACTCGAAAGGAAACAAGGTAATAGAGAAGCTTTGTGTTATAAAATCTGCCTTTTAATAAGAAAACTCTTATTTAAAAAAGCTGTCCCTTTTAAGTGTAACTCTGATCTTGGCTATTTTCTGCACTTTCATAGACATGTTTTCTTCACATAGAGCATTGCCAATGATCCTTTGATTCTCACTCCCTTCAGTGTGTCCCCAGAAGTCATGTCTCTGTTGGGACCCTCTGCTTCTAGTTGTAACCAAGATTGCTACTAGAACCACAATGTTGTTGTTTTTTAAAATATATTTTATTGTTTTTTGTTTTGTTTTGTTTTGTTTTTACAGAGAGGAAGGGAGAGAGATAGAGAGTTAGAAATATTGATGAGAGAGAAGCATCGATCAGTTGCCCCCGGCAAACCCCCCACTGGGGATATGCCAGCAACTAAGGTACATGCCCTTGACCAGAATTGAACCCAGGATCCTCCAGTCCACAGGCCAACACTCTATCCACTGAGCCAAACCAGCTTTGGCTAGAACCACCATGTTTTTGAGTCCATCTTCCTGCACACACTGGTGCAAAGAAATGCATAAGCAAGATAGAAAAAAAATCATTTAATATTGAATTGGCCAATCCAGAAATAGGAAACTAATGTTAAAGATCCCATTTCCCCACAGCATGTAGGTTACAGATTACATAGAGCAAAATCACAAGGTAGAGTGAGTTAGGGATTTCTATTCATGCTGGGAGCAGAGAGATCAGAGGTAAGATAAGATTAATAAAGAGTTTCCTCAGGTCTTGAGGACAGTTCTGAGGCCTGTTCCCGTGTTGCTCTCTGTTCTCACTGGAAATTAGCCGGAGGATCTCTAACATAACTCAGACCAAGATTTTATCAGGTCTAGACTTCTGCTGCCTAAGGCATTGCTGATTATGGAGGGAAAGGTTAGGTCTCTGAGGGGTATAGACTATAGAGAGAAAGAGATATGGTTTCTAGAGCTAGGATTAAAGCTAAATGAAATAAAAGTCATAAGGATTTCATCATAATCTTTTTGTAGCTCCTTCTACCACAGAGAGAGGTCTGAGCATGTAGTTGATCTCCCTTCTCATCCCCATTACCAATCTATTTCAAATGTCTTACAATACAGTAAAGGAAGGATAATACCAAATCATTGAACAATTAAGGTGCACCTAGATTAAGCCAAATACTTTTCTCTATATTTTAATGTAATCCTATGATAACTCTTGAGGTAACTACTCTCATTCTAATTTTACAGGTGAATAAATTAATTCTTAGAGAGATTAAAGTGATTGCCCAGGGTCATAAAACAATGGAGCTAAGATTGTAAAGCAGGCTTATTTGACCCCAGAACTTAAACTTACAACCACTGCATTGTTCTATGCCTGCTCCAATAGCCCTCATCTAATTGACCCACTTGGGGCATTTGATGAGACCATTAAAACCTGAGTTCAGCCAGGACCGGTTTGGCTCAGTGGATAGAGCGTCGGCCTGCGGACTGAGGGGTCCCGGGTTCGATTCCGGTCAAGGGCATGTGCCTTGGTTGCAGGCACATCCCCTGTGGGGGGTGTGCAAGAGGCAACTGGTCGGTGTTTCTCTTTCAGTGACGTTTCTAACTCTCTGTCCCTCTCAATTCCTCTCTGTGTAAAATCAATAAAATATATTTTTTAAGAAAAAACAAAAAACGTGAGCTCAGTTTTCTATTTTTTGAAACCTTTTTATTTTTACCTTTCACCCTATATATTCTAGACTTCCTGAAAGTCTTCCAAAAAACAGATTCCTTCCTGCTATGAATAAGACCCGTTCTTGTGTGCTTTCAGTGGGGTTTAGGAACACACCCTCTGTGTAGTAATTGCTCCCACAAAGGAGGTTTACTATCAATATCCTTTAAGCCCTATTCTACAACTAGAATCATTCACATGGATTTATTGAGCACCTACTAAGTTTGGGTAGTTTTAGGTAGCAGAATACAGTGGTGAACAGTACAGACAGACCCTAATGTAAGGCCCTAATGTAGGACCATATTGATGGTGAAGAACCAGCCATTCCCATATTTTCTGATAAATCCCATTTTTCTGTTTTCCAGCCAAACAGCCATGTTCCTCTTATGATTTATTTTTATTTTTGGCTAAGCCTCACCCAATAATCTATTTTTTCCATTGATTTTTAGAGAAAGTGGGAGGGAGTAAGAGATAGAGGGAGAAAGAGACAGAGAGAGAGGAAGAGGGAGGGAAAGGGAGAAACATCAATGTGAGAGAGACACATTGACTGGTTGCCTCCCACATGGGTCCCAACTGGATCAATGATTGAACCTGCAATCCAGGTACTTATCTTTGACCGGGAATTGAACCTGAGACCCTTTGGGGTCCAGGATGATGCTCTTACCATTGAGCACATTGGCCAGGACACCTCTTATAATTCTTGAGTTATATTCAGTATTTAAAAAGATCACCTTATAATTCTTCTACATGAACTTCCTTTTCATGAATCCTACTCTCACACTTTGTTGGAAATTTAAGATGCATGAGGTTCTTTCAGGCCAAGGGGAAGGGAATGAATATTAGTGAGCACCTGTAGTGTATGCTGGTATTTATAACACCTTGTCTCAATTAAGCATCACAAATGCATAAGGAAGTCAAGTTTATTATTCTCACTTACAAATGAAATACTGGAAGATTTTCGAAGTCAAATCCCAGAGGTTGAACAAAAGCAGCGTTTGGAGGAGGGTGCCAGATTCCTTCCTACTTAGGAAGTGACTCATTCTCCCAGACCCCAGCCTCAGGGAAATGCTGGTGAGCAGCCAGCATGTTCAGGACCTGGAAGACAGGTCAGAACAATGACTGAATCATAACACAGTATTTTGTTGCTCACCACCACCTCAGACTGTTCAATGGAATCAGGAGATAGTCCCAGGTTTACATTTCAACCTCCAGGGGGATGACTTAATTGGTAATTGACCCATTCCTTTGATTCTCAAAGTTTTCAGTCTTTAAACATTCTCTATTGACTGAGAGCCAGATTCTGTGTCACGGGGGAAGGCAGTTCAGCTGATAAGGTGGTAGAGAGGTTCTGGAGGCAAACTTTCTACCTCCCAAAGTTGAAGTGTTGACTTTCATACTGCCAATTCCAGATTATTTCCTCCAGGGAAATTTGCTTCTGGAACCTCTCTACTCAGCTACTCAGTTGGGAATGGGCCTCTGATTAGATGCCTGAAGATGTGAAGTTATAGAAACAGAATCTAAGCCCATATAACACACAGAACAAACATCAAAACATCATGATGTCATAAACTTTTCTTTGGTAAACATGAAATCTCTACATTATGGTTCTTTAAGGAGCTAGATTAAGCAGAGAGAGGATTCCTCTATTCTAGCAAAAGCATTTTATTTATCTAATCCTTTACATTTAGTGTTGTGTTGATGTTGTTGTTTTTAATAAAAGCTTACTTCATCTATAATGAACATAAAGAAGGTATTACAGTGAAAATTCAGGTACAAAACTTTCTAAAATTTATTTTTTAGTTATTTCTATATTTTAGGTGCTCAGAATTTCTTGTTAATGACTTATTTTGCAAGGTGGGTAGAAGAAGAAGCTCATTTCATTTGAAGAAATATAACCTCAGGTTGTCTGAGTGAGGGGATGACTTCATTGCTAATTGAATGACTGATGAATTAGATATGAATTGACCCACTATTGGTCCTAGAGTAAGGTCATGCTCCTGTGTGTGGTTTTTTTGAGATTCACAGAAAGATAATATTAACTATGAGTCACTCAAAGGATTTCATCTTCACAAGTCCAGCCTAAAGAATATATAAAGAAGGAACTTGCACTAGAAAGGACAAGGTGACTTGGGTTGCCGTTCAGAAGAAGTTCAGAATGAAGTTTCTTCTCTTGACACTGGTCCTGCAGGCCAGTGCTCCTGGAGTTATTTCTAGAATAAACCCTAAAGAAAATAATGTGGTATTCGCTGAAGTAAGTATTAACCACTATAGTATTTAACCTGACTTCTGTCATTAAGATTTATTACATTGGCCAGTTTTATATTGAAAAGTACTATTTGAGAACTTGTTTAAGGGGCTATTTGATTTCAGCACTGAAATTTTCTTTGCCAAAGAGGAATGTAATAAAGAGATACTGGTTTTGAAGGAGTGTTATAAAATAGTGGTTGAATTTCTCCCTTTTACTAAAAAGCCTAGGCCAAGGATTTTTAGTTCAAAATAATTGGTGCTCTACTTTTGCTACGGTATTTTACATTAATCATTTAATGCTGGTAATAATCTGAGATTTGAATAATGTTGATTATTTTAACCACTTCAGTATTCCATGATAATTTGAGAATACTCTTTTATTAAATATATTTTTATTTATTTCAGAGAAGAAGGGAGAGAAAGAGAGAGATTGAAATATCAATGATGAGAATCATTGATCGGCTACCTCCTGCACGACCCTACTGGGGATTGAGCTTGTAACTCAGACATGTGCCTTTGACTGAAATTGAACCTGGGACCTTTCAGTCCCCAGGCTGATGCTCTACCCACTGAACCAAACCAGCCAGAGCAAGAATACTCTTTACTGTCCCTATCTCAAATATTTCTTCCTAAACCGTTTTTTAAAATGTAATTTTTTAAATTCATTTCTTTCCCCTAACTACATGAGTTCGGATTATGTTCTCATTTTCTAGAACTGTTTTAACTTTGAACTTCTCATAGTTGTCCATTGTCTTGAGCTTTGGATTTTTAGTCAGGAACATTTTATTCCAACTTAATTTAAGAATCCTGACAATAAAGGCTTTCCTGATTTACTAAATGCCATGATATGTTAGATGCTGAAATAAGTTTTTTTTATTTTTAAAAATATTTTTATTGATTTTTTACAGAGAGGAAGAGAGAGGGATAGAGTTAGAAACATCGATGAGAGAGAATCATTGATCAGCTGCCTCCTACACACACCCTATTGGGATGTGCCCTCAAACAAGGTACATGCCTTTGACCGGAATCGAACTTGGAACTTTTCAGTCCATAGGCCAATGCTCTATCCACTGAGCCAATCCGGTTTTGGCTAAAATAAGTTTTTAAAAGTAGAAACAAATTTGAAGAGTACAGACATAAGGGTGATTTTAGCCTAGGAATCAATCTTGCTAATAAATTATGACACTTATGACAGCACAAAATTTTTTATTATGATGATTAATTTTTGATACCTGATTCAAACTTATCAGTGCAAAGTTGATCCACATATACAGAGCTCCAACAGAAAACTTTAGATACATAATAATGTAATACTAAATGTATTTTTCCAGAGGTACTTGAAACACTTTTATGGCTTCAATATGAGAGGAATTTCAGAAACAAAAGAGAAAGTCAATGAGAAGTTCTTGGAGAATAAAATTCAGGAAATGCAACAGTTCTTGGGACTAACTGTGACAGGGCAACTGGACAAGCCTACTCTGGCCATGATGCACAGACCTCGATGTGCAGTGCCTGATGTGAACACAACGCCAGGGAGGCCAATATGGGAGAAGAATCTTATTACCTACAGGTAACATGATAGCCATGTATTTTTCTGCTTCCTCACAGGTCTGACTTCTGGAATCCTGAAGATTTTAGATATGGCCCTACATTTGGTCATGGCTAAGAAGCCTCCCTCAACTCATTACACTATCCCTCTATTTAAGTTTATTATCTCCAGGAGCAAGGACTGTTCACTCAGGGATTGTTTGGCTTGCCAGTCCAGACCCAAGTAGGGAGGTTACAAACAAAAGGAGAATGAAATTATGATAAATAAGACACAGGATAAGTTTTTCTCAAGTAGTCAAGATGAACAAATGCAAAAGTCTTGGAGCAGGGGCAAAGGCATAAGCTTCTATAAATGTAAATCTTTGGTAAAGGTGACTTATAAATGATATATGAGAACAAATCAAGTTAGATTCATTTAAGAAGGAAGTTGTCCAAGGATAAACATTTCTGTATATAGAAAGTATGCTTTTTAAAAAAAATGGTATAATTAATTTATGAAATAACTCATTCTCCAATGATGCCAGCATATATGAAGTATCATAATATAACAAAATTAGCACATGGTTTCATACATTTTTCTCTTTTTTGTTTTGCTGATAAAGAATCAGGGATTACACTACTGACATGGAACGTGAGGATGTTGATGTTGCTATAGAGAAAGCTTTTCAAGTATGGAGTGATGTGACCCCTCTGAAATTTGTCATGATCAATGCAGGCGAGGCTGACATTATGATAAGTTTTACAGCTGCAGGTAGATAATTTGGACTTATTTCATCTCTATCTGGCCACTCAGTATATATATTTTAGAGGCCTGGTGCATGAATTCGTGCATGGGTGGGGTCTGGCCAATCTGGCTATGGGGAGGGGACATGGGCAGTTGGTCAAACTCCTGGTCGAGGGGACAATTTGCATACTAGCCTTTTATTATATAGGCTACACTGTTATACACTGAGTAGACAGATTACTATGCATTCAGAGATCATAATAATCTGGCCACTCAGTGTATATAGAAGGACTAATCTTTTTTTCCTTTTCAAAAGATTATGGAAGCATTTACCGTTTTGATGGCAAAGATGGTCTTATAGCTCATGCTTTTAAACCTGGACCTGGTATAGGAGGAGACTTATATTTTGATGAGGCTGAACGCTGGACTATGAACCACGAAGGTAGGCGAACAAATAAATGAAACCACAAAAGAAAACCCTAACAAATTATAAATGGTGCCACCATTTTGAAAAAGGCTCATTTTGAAAAATAGTTATAGCATGAGAAAACTTGTTTTGATTGTAATTTTTGTAATAAATAAAATGTAACACTGTCTCAATTTTACACTCTATAAATTGAGGACATTGAACTAGGTAATCTTAAAGAAGTTCTAAAAATCCGAAGATGAGCTATTTCCTATGAACTCAAGAACCTCAGGAACTATAGGTATATTATGTGATCGATTTTGACAGTGCAATCCATAAACTCACACAAACATAAATACTAATTATGTATATGGTAACAATCCTAAAATGGTGTGGTTATCTTCCTGATCATTATCTATAATAATAAAAGCATAATATGCTAATTAGAGTAGATGTCCTTCCGGATGACCTTCCTGACAAAGCTGTGGCAGCCAGGGCTGAGACAGAGGCAGTTGTGGCAGCAGCGGTGGGGGCCAAGACTCTTGCTGAATTTCGTGCATTGGGCCTCTAGTATGTTGATAATTTCTTAGGTTCATAGTGACACAGAAAGGCAATGCTGTAGAGAATTTAGAGAACTGCACAGAGATACACCATGTTATATGGTCAAGTAGTCTCTTGTGGTTCTAGATAAAAATTTCAGAATGCCGAAATAATCATTCCGTAACTTGTATGTATTTACAGAGGGGCTGTAAGTCACCATTCCTATCTAAAAGTGAAGATATGAATAATTAATCTCTCTTATTTGGAGGAATCACTATCCATTGGGAAGTTCAAACCATCATATCAGAAGCCTATTTAATCTCTCTATTGGGAATCTTAGATTACATGACTAACACATGTGGAAAGTAAATGTAGAGAAAGTCATGAAGAATATGCTTTACTCAGCAGCCCCCTTTGACCTACTGAGACTGCAAATGTTAGATAGTAATAGTTTATAGGCCAGAAAAATTATTTATTTTAGTCTGACACATGGTCTAAAGCTTATAGGATTTGTAAGTAATGAAGAGGATTTTTGCAATGTCAAAAGACAAATGATATAGGATTTGTTTTTTTTCTGAGCTACAAATTTTCAACTTAGACATATTGTTTGTCTAAATTTTATGAAATAATATTTTGGTTTTATAATCATTTCATCTCTTGTGGGAAAATTGCACCAGCTAAGTAGACTGTTTTGAAATTTCAAAGGACCTTGAAAAAAATCATTTAATATTGTTTTTGGTTTTTGGTGTTTTTTGTTTGTTTGTTTGTTTACAGTTAGAAGAAATTGAGACCAAGGGAAAGTTAGTGGCTAGCTTGTAAAAAGCTGGCATCAGAACATGCATTTCCTAATTCTTACTTTAGTCTAATGTTAGTCTAATTAATTCTAACTGTCCATGTTGCCTTATATTTAATTGGCTCAATTTTGTATTTTTCAATAGCTAACTTATAAAATTCCAACTTAAAGTGCTCATTCTCAACCCAATTTTTGACTCTGTAAATTAGATGAACAATCAGCTCAATGGTTACTTTCTATTAGAGTGTTAGGTGATGCCGTGGGGGTATTTGGATACACAAATGAAAAGGACACAGTCCTGCCCCAGAGGAGCACACAATGTAGGCGGGGAGGGGGGAAAGAGAAAAAAGGAAAAAAAAAAAACAAAACCTCCCACAAACAAAAATCCATTATTTTGAGATAAGAACCAGTCTATACAAAGTATTATATGAATTGGGAATAAGATAAATTTAGGTTTAGGCCAGCATATCAAAGGCTTTGTTTACTCTTCCCTGTATTATGCAGAGTGGAAAGAATGACAGAATCTACTATTCTTTTTCATTATTTGAGAGAAATTAAAGCATTTCCAAGTTTGTTGCTAACCCCTGTGTTACAGGGAATGTTCTTGGACACTTCCCAAAAGACAGGTGTAGACTGCAGACACTATGTTCACACTTGGGTAGTGACGAGAATTTCAAGGCCTGGCTCTGAGGCTAAGTGGACTTTGACCCTGGGCAAGTCAATTCTGAGTGTCAGTTTTGCCACAAAACAGGAAGAAATAATGAGGGCATTAGACCAGGACACAGATAAAAACTAAGATTAAGGGGTTATTCAGATCTTCTTGATAAGCTTCAGAGAAAGGACACACCTCTCTTTCTTACCTACAAAGGTGCATGCTGTAAGAGATACAGGAAAAAATGAACAAACATGACTATAACTTGTCAGTGTAAGTATATCTAACTTGTAAGCATAGTCTCTGATTTTATTTAGAATCATGTGTAGGAAAAAGGTGAGCTTTATTTAGAGCCAAGAAATTCAAATTTGAATCTTGGGTCAGTACTTAATTTGGTCAATTAAGCTTGCTGATACTGTGTCTTCATCTGTAGATGGAGAGTATGGTGGCTTCCTTTTAGTTGCATAAGGATTATACATAATGTAGTATATTTCTCAGTGACTTATAGTACCTGGAACTACATATTGCTTCATATTAGGGTTTAGTAAAGAATGGTTATTAAGTACTTTTTTATATCCACTCAAGATTGACCAAGAGTAAAAGTAGGATGAAGTGATAATAACTTAGAGGCAGAGAGAACACAGCTATGAGTTATTGTAGAGATTTTCAAAACAGTATATATGTCACTTGTGTGATAGTGCGTGATCCTTAACCAAAGGCAATTTTGCTCCCAAGGGGACATTAGACAATGTGTGCAGACATTTTGGTTATAAAAAATGATGAGGAATTTGCTACTTATTTAATGGTAAGCCAAAGATTCCTAAAAACAAAACAAAACAAAACAATTATCTGGGCTATCATGTCAATAGTAAGTATCAAGGCTGAAAACCTTGTGTAAGGAAGGGAACCAAGTAAAGGATTCCCAAATGTTTCCCTTATCCTTGTGTCAGATATAAATTGTGTTAATGTCTTCTAGATGCCTGTAGATTTCACTGCTCTTTTCCTCTTCTGGTTGGTTTCCTCTTAGGCATCAACTTGTTCCTAGTTGCTGTTCATGAGCTTGGCCATTCCTTGGGTCTAGACCATTCCAGTGATCCAAATGCCGTAATGTTCCCCATCTATACTTATGTGGACCCCAACACATTTCACCTCTCTGCTGATGATATACATGCCATTCAGTCTCTCTATGGTAAGTTTAATTTCTTTACCATCTTGCCTTATAAAGATACACTTATGAATGGTTTTATGATACCTGCATTTGGTTAAAACTTTAACATTTGCATTCACTTTTGAATCCCAATGGATACCCTATGAGGTAGGTGGCAGAGATATTATGTTCATTTTTGCAGATGAGCACAAGAGACCTAATATGTTAATGCCAGAGCCAGAAGCAAAATCTACCCTAAGCCTTCTGCACTTGAATCTATTATTTCATTCTAATATATCATTGTCTATTGAAGAAGGTGCACAGAGAAAAAATACATAGCTGGAACAAGAAAACCAGAGTGAACAGATTTCCTCCCCTCCATAATGTTGCAACCACATAGGGAAACACTTTTTTGTATGCTTCCTGTAAATGTTGTAGAAAGCATAAATTGCTTTTTATGCATTTTTCATCAAGAAAATTGAATGTTTTTAAAAGAGAATGATTCTTCCTTTGATGAACTAAGCATTAGATTTTCTTTTTCTAATGCTTCTTGAAATGTATTTTCAGGCAGTCCAGAAAACTTCCAATTCCCATCAAAAACTAACAATCCAGAGGCACCTTACTGTGATCCCGATTTTCATTTTGATGCTGCCACTAGAGTGGGAAATGGAATCTTTTACTTTAAAGACAGGTAGGATTATTTTCAAACCCAACCAAATCCAAAGGTTTTCTCCTAAGGTGTGTTTTGTTGTTGTTGTTATTACTGTAAAATAATAGAAAATGATGGAAAATTGAGTAGATGGAAATAGTAAGTAGGAACTTGGACTTGATTCTGTAGGCAGTGGAGAAATCTTGATGACTTTGAAGCAAGAAAGTGGTATGATAATATTTATGTCTTAACTAGAAAACTGGTGTGTAAATAATGGATTTACAATTAGAATGTGGATTGGGAAAATATAAGACAGGAAACAGAGAACCCAGACTATTTTAATCATAGATAAAAAATTGTGTCTGGAACTAAAGCTATGACAGAGTACTTATTTAAAGGATTTGATTCTTGATTATAGAGAATGGAATTCCAGGATGACTTATGGTTCATGTTTTACAGCACAGACTGAAGCAGATATTGGAGGTATGGGGGAAGTATAGGAGATTAATGTTTGGAAGGGAGAACAAATATTCTTCATTTTTGAGATTCAAACACTGAATTACTTGAGGTTAAGTGACTCCCTTTAGATTATAAAGCTAGTGAATGGATTGTGGGACCAGACTAAATAATGATCCTTTGGTTCCAAGATCCAGGGTACAACAGTTTGTCTGTTAATACCGTGTTTCCCCTAAAATAAGACATCCTCCGAAAATAAGACCTACTTACAGGTTTCCTTCTGAGTGAAATATAAGGCATCCCCCTGAAAATAAGGCCCCCACACACTAGGCTAAACATGAGAGATTTGGTCCACTGATTGTGAAAGAAATGGAGTCACAAGAAATTCACCAGGAAATTCAGGAATTGGATTGTTATGATGATGTTCTAGAAGATGATGACATAATTGACATTGAATAAATGAGTAAATTCTTGATACTGTAGGATTCACAGTTTGTCTGGTTTGTGTTGACAACTACTGTACTACCATACTGTATACAGGTAATAAATTTCCTTTATTTCCATTTAACAATAAATGTGTACCGTATACTTCTTCATGGAAAAATAAGACATCCCCTGAAAATAAGACCTTGCACATCTTTGGGAGCAAATATTAATATAAGACACTGTTTTATTTTTGGGGAAACAGTTTTATAAGACACTGTTTTATTTTTGGGGAAACAGTACCGTTGCTATTATCAAAGAACTGATTTAACTTTTTTTTTCCCCTTGTGGTGCTTCTACTCAGACATCCATGGAATAGAATGTGAAGATCATAAAAAGAAACATTAAACTGTTTCACAGGTCCTTGCCACTCATATCTCATGGTTCTTGAGTCCACAACAATTTTTAACATGTATTTAATGTTTTACATGTCAGTTTCTTCTGGATGCAAATTCCTGGGAATCCAAATGCCACTATTGGTTTAATTTCTTACTTATGGCCAAACTTTACATCTGGTGTTCAAGCTGCTTATGACATGGAAGATGGACAACACGTTTTTCTTTTTAAAGGTAACTTCAATGTTTAGTTTTGCTATTGAGTCTACGTCAAGGAAGAGAATAAATTAAGGAAATAGTACAACTTTTTATAAATATAGATTTCTTAAAAACACCCCAAATTGTAATAATTGTACACTGAACTATAATCTAACATAGATTTAATAGATGATATATAAAATTTTCAAGAAAAGTTTGGTAAATATAGATTGTAATACTTATTGGGGGTGGAATACAGAACCAAAGAAAATGGGCTATGTTTAAAAACAAGGAACAATACACTTTAAAAGAATGGGAAAAGAATGATGTTCACAGTGAATCAATATATATTTCTATTATTCTTTCTGTACAATACTAATGTGCCCTTTTCTTTGTATTCACAGATGATAAGTACTGGTTACTCAGTAATTTAAAACCACAGCCAGGTTATCCCAAAAGCATACATTCTTTGGGCTTTCCTGAGTCTGTAAAAAAAGTTGAGGCAGCTGTTTATAACCCACTTCTTCATAAGACCTACTTCTTTGAAGATCAAGTGTATTGGAGGTGAGCTTTAATGATTACTAATTTGACCTCTAAGATAATGAAACAAGCAGGGAATGGGATTTTCCAGAGGAATAGTTTTACATACAAATTCCAAAAGATTTTTTTTTTAATCTTTCATGGGGATAAGTCAAGATAATATAGGACTAGAATATTCATTGTCTACCTAGTTCTTTTCTCTGGATTTTTAGATTCTGAATTATGAAATAACGCAAAGTGTATTTTAAAGGAATACTTTAAATTAAATGTCATGGTATTAATCATAGCAAAAACGCATTGGAAAATAGTGGTGGAGATGTATGGGACCTAGTCAGGTTGGAGGGTGTACGGAGTTTCAGATTCCTTCCCAGAATCACTGGACCCATGAAGCCAAAAAGAGGAAACTATCCTCTGAATGACAGCTGATCCAGCAAGGTCTTCACAAACAGGAGATTAGACAACCAGGCTCTATAAAGCAGGACTGGGCACTGTGGAGGAGGGAGGAGAGTACTTGACTGGTAGTTAAGAAGACTCGGGTTAGAGTCCTGTAGGGACATGGAATAAATCAGTGAACTGTTTACCAGTAGATCTTGGGTTTTCCCATCCGTGCAGCTCAAGTCTTTTTAATAAGTACCTTTCAAGACAGAAGTAGGTGGTTTTGTTGTCTGTGTCATGAAATGTGAAGTTTATGTCATGAAGTCTATGTATGCTGAAGTTCCTGCTGTTTATTATTTTGTTCAGGTATGATGAGAAGAAGCAAAGCATGGACCCCGGTTATCCCAAATCGACTATTCACCACTTCCAAGGAATTGGGCCTGCAATTGATGCAGTCTTTTACTATAACAGTAAGTAGACTAGGGAACTGTAAGGATACTGGAAATACCTTTTTAAAACACAGAGCCTTTCATACTCTTTTATACTTCCTTTTATCTCCTTTCACTCTTCATGGGCTCTCAAGGGCTGGGGCTGATGGTGGGATGAGAGAGCTCGAGTTTGTTTGAGTTTGTATTTGTGAATGGCTTTAAGCAAAATCAACCTAAACAGATTGTTGACAAGGCCAAGATATTTTGTGTTTTACGTGGCACCCCCATGAGTTTTGTACTTCTTCCATCAGGACTTCTGTGTGTGTGCTTGGGCCCAGTCTCCTCTCTCCACTTGGAGTGTAACTTTTCAAAAACATTTACTTGTTAAAGTCAGCCTTTAAAATGAAACAACCTTCTCAATAAAATTAGTGAGACTATTTAATGGTGAAATGATAGGCAGTAGGCAGATATCTGGGGGCCAAGGGACCCAAAGTTTATGTATTTGAATTGGATCTTGTTTAATGTAGATGATCTAAAAAAAAAAAAAAAAAAAAAAAAAAAAGATAATCTATGTTATCTTTTCAAAGAAATACAAGCAGAGAATTAACCTATTCAATTTGTTTTCATTTTTAGGACACTTCTATTTTTACCAAGGACATATCATAATTGAATATAATATCCCAACTAAACGTATCATCGGAGTGCTGAATCGGAATGCTACCTTTACTTGTTAGGAATTATATAATTACTGCTGATTGCCAATTTACTCTAGTTTAATATGCATTTATTGTTATGTGCCTAGTGTAACAAAAATAATGACTATATATCATAAAATAAGGTAAAATCTATAGGGCATAGACAAATAATCATATAGAAAATTATTATACAAAATATATGTTTTTTTTTATTTTAAAAATTCTCATTGTCAATTTTTACTTGACTCTGCTATTAAGTTTGAAAATAAAACACTTTCAAAGGCCAAGAGAATATGTTGACCATTAACATCCTTAAACTAAGAAATTATCATTATTTCTCTGGCTTAATTAAATTTAGAGAAAAAATTAGTTTCTTTGACCATTAAATGTTTCAGTAAGGGTACCATTTTAATTGTAATGAGAATAGAATATATCTAGAACTTTAAAATGACTATGATTTTAATAAGATATATAAATAAGTTATATAATTATGGTGATAATATGTTTTTATTTGGCTGCAGTGTTGACTTTTCTACTACTTCATATAAAGTATATGTACTTCTAATGTTCAAATAAAAACTTTAAAGCAAAGTATTCTGATATTAAGAATTTTTCTTGAGAACAGGAACATGTATATTGAAAATAATTCTGGACCTGTTCCTAAATAAGAGAAAGTCTCTATGTGATTATACTAAGAGGTGAATAGAAATATGGCAACTAGGAAAAACCAAAACAAAAACAAACAAAAAAACATTGTATTTGCTTTGGCTACTTGTTAAAAACTCCCTGAATCCTTGGCTCAAGTCAAGAACACATTCTCCAGACTGCTGATGGCTCCAAGGAGTACCTACAGTGTGTAACCACAAACATGAAAAGAAGAAGGCATGAAATAGGAGCTTTCCATTTTGGTAAATTTCTGTCATAGATCAAGTCTCACAATAGGTGCCATTTAAATGCTGTGTGACCCTGGAAAAAGATTGAATCTAAGCTTCCTTAAATTTAGGGGGAAATATTAATGGTACTATCTCATAGGTTTATTGTGCCAAAAAATGATGCATAATATATGGTGAGAACATCATGCTGGTAGCTTGGCCTACCTTATATCAATTTTCTCCATTATCTCTTTTTTTTTTTTTAAATATATTTTTATTGATTTTTCACAGAGAGGAAGAGAGAGGGATAGAGAGCTAGAAACGTCGATGAGAGAGAATCATCGGCCAGCTGTCTCTCGCACACCCCATACTGGGGATGTGCCCGCAACCAAGGTACATGCCCTTGACCGGAATCGAACCTGGGACCTTTCAGTCTGCAGACCGACGCTCTACCACTGAGCCAAACCGGTGCCAGCTCCATTATCTCTTTAAAAACATTTTAAAATATGTTTTTATTGATTTTAGAGAGAGATGAGGGATTAGGATAGAGAGAGGAACATCAGTAAGAGAGAAACATTGATTGGTTGCCTCCTGCACACCCCCTACTGGGGATTGAGCCTGCAACCCAGAATGTACCTTGACTGGGAATCAAACCAGGAATCTCATGGTTCTACCATTGAGCAGCACTGGCCAGGAAATTTTCTCCCCTGCCTTTACACACATGCTCTCTATTTTCTGGATTGTACACATATTAAAGCTCCCTCTAATGTCTTATAGGTTTGTGGAATGTGTGGGTTTTTAATGTATTTTCAGACTATTGCTGACTGATATACTCAAGATCCCAAACAAAGTAAAGTTTATTTCACCTCAGATGATTGTTCTTGGCTAATAGAATAAGCTAAGATCAGAGAAAATATGAGTATCAAAAAGAATCTAGATGGGGACAAAGCTCTTTGTCCTTCATAGTTTAGGTCCATTCTTAAGGATGTGTTTCTTTGGTGGAGCACATGATATTAATCCCACAGAGGTCTTTAGGGGAAACAGGATCAAGTCATCTTTAGAAGAAATGTTATTTACCTACAGGAAACTAAATGCTGGACATCCTTCAAAGGAAGAAATTTCCCTCACAAGATCAGCATCAAAAGAAAACTTAATGGTATCTTGGTTGAGATGACTTTGACATTAGGAATAAGCAGTTTCTTTTAAGTAATGGCTATCCCATATAATAAAGAGCTAATAAGCTAATGGCCATGATGCCCTCACGCCAACACCATAACAACCAATCAGCAGGTGTGCACAGGTGGGCGGGGACTTGAATCTGGAGGTTTCTGGCATGGCAGGAGGCTTTCTGGGTCCTGCCTCTTGTGGGTAGTGGCTCTGGGACTCTTCTGGGTGGGGAGGTACATGAGGGGAGGGACCTGGGACTCACGCAATTTTGCATGCCAGGATACAAATATTGAAATAAAGGCCCAGAGTACACCTTTCTGTTTCATGAGTGTTCATGAGAAGTACCTTTAAAGATTCAAAAGTGAACCCTTTTTTCTTCTACCTCTATTTGTGTTATATTATAAAATTTGTTTAACAAATTCTTATAATGCTAACCATGTGCCGGACACTCCCCAAAATCTGCATACGCACACATAGACACAGAAACACATAATCTTATAAAGAAGTAATATGCAAATTGACCATCACTCCAACACACAATATGGCCGCCCCCCATGTGGACACAAGATGGCTGCCACAAGATGGCCATCAGGGGAAGGCTGTTATGGGCAATCAGGCCAGCAGGGAAGGCAGTTGGGAGGGACCAGGCCAACAGGGGAGGCAGTTGGGGGCAACCAGGCCAGCAGGGAAGGGAAGTTAGGAGTGACTGGGCCAGCAGGGTAGGGAAGTTAAGGGTGACCAGGCCTGCAGGACAGAGCAGTTAGGAGCAATAAGGCCAACAGGGAGGGCAGATAGAGGCAATTGGGCCAGCATTGGAGCAATTAGGCGTTGATCAGGTTGGGAGGGGAGTTATTAGGGGGTGATCAGGCTGGCAGGCAGAAGCGGTTGCCAGCCAGCAGTACTGGATTGTGAGAGGGATCTTGAGGGGATCGGGCCTAAATGGGAAGTTGGACATCCCTGGAGGGGTCCCAGATTGGAGAGGGTGTAGACTGGGCTGAGGGACATACACACACACACACACACACACACACACACACACCATGCATAAATTTTATGCACTAAGCCTCTAGTCTAAAATAATAAAATTAGACCATTAGACCAAACGTCCTTCCTGACATCATTCTGGACAAAGCTGGGGTTGGAGCAAAACTACCTGGGTCCCAGGTGCCTGGCAGGGGCAGCCAGAGCAAATCCCAGGTTCTGGGTGCCATAGGGAAGCAGGGGGCAGGAATGCCTACTCTTACACAAATTTTTGTGCATCAGGCCTCTAGTTTTTAATAATTAAAAATGGCTAATTATTATTTAGTAATAAATAATCACCTAATCATTAAAATTATGAGATAAATACTATCATTCATATTTTTCAAATGAGGAAAATGAGACCCTGAATGGTGAACTAATTTGCCCTAAGTCACATAGCCTTGGAGCTGCAAGTCAAAGCCAGGCAGTTGGACTTCAGAATTTCTGTTATGAACCATCATAAAATTCTGCCTTTCAAATTTAGAAAGAGAAAAAAAAAATCAAATAAAGTAAAAACTCCTCGCATTCTATTCTATTTGTACTTTAACTGGACCTTTCAATCAAAAGTTTTTTAACATGTTATAAAAATCCTTTGTGTCTCCAGATCAGAGAATACCATTTTCCCTTGGATATCTTGCTAATATCAGGGGGAGAAATTATCCAAGAAAAACTACAAGTGTCTTTACAATGGAGAGCTGGACATGTCTAACCGATCTTCTGGAGAGAAGCTGGTTTTATGAGAGTATGCACTTGACACACTTTTTTGGGGGTCCAAGGTTCTGAGGGTCTGAGACTTACTGTGAGTTCTTGGTTTCATGTGAGAAAGAATTCAAATTCAAACAGCGTAGAGTTTAAAGTGAAAGTGAGCTTTTTAGTGAAACAGTGGGACAGAACGTGGGCTACTCCACAGACACAACAGCTCCCCTTTAGCAAAATTTGTTTCCTTTATTTTTTTTTTTTTAATGTGGGGGGCTGTTTCTCTGTTTTCCGTGTCCTTCATGAAAAACAACAGGTTCCTGAGTGGAGGAGCTGGGGATTAAGCAATTAAAGAAAGAAGAGGCCAGAGGCAGAACTAGATTCATCAAGTTGGACACTAGGTGGGCGCCATGTTCTCTGATGGAGAGGCAGCGAGCCACGCAGCAGGTTTATTTTATAGGGTCAAAGGATACTTAACTAGGCCCTAGCATTATTGGGTTTACATATCTAGACCTGCCTCTGCTGACACCTGGACAAAGGTACTCTGCCAGTGCCTCGGGTTCAACTGACAATTTAAAGAATATCCATGTGCCTTCTCAGGCGGCCCTCTACATTTAAATAGGTTTTTATTGATTTTAGAAAGAGAGGCAAATAGAGGGATAGAAATAGAAATATAGATGAGAGACATTAATTGGTTGCCTTCCACATGCCCCTACTGAGATTAAGCCCCAACCTGGGCATGTGCCTTGACTGGGAATTGAACCATGGCCTCCTGGTTGATAGGTCGATGCTCAACCAGTGAGCATCACTGGTGGGGCTCTGAGGCTCATTTAACCAAAGGGGTAAGATATTCAATAAGGAGAAGGAATATTTAGGATCTTCCTGGGATATGGGAGTGGAGATTTCTTGGAGGAGCTCCGTCAGCAGTGTTGTGTCCTTGTATGGGTTTTCTGATTCCAGTATTGGCAGTGAGTGGTGAGCCATTTACATGCTGATATATTACAATGAGTATAAAAGGCTAGGGGTTATCTTTAGGTGAAATTAGTCCTCATGTTGAAACTAGCTGGTTTCTGCCAGTTCTTAGCCATAAATGTGGTGGTACGGGGAGGTGGTTTTACTTACTTGCTGACAATTCCTGTAGTTTTTATTGATTACAGCTGTTTCACCACATACCCTATCTCACGCTTTTGACTATTAAATAAATCAATCTATTATATAAGTCTGTAAGGATATAAATGATAAAAAAGCAATAATAATGCAAATGGTTCTTTTCTATAGCAATGC